TTAAACAAGTGCTTAGTAGGTTAACAAGAGCTATATAGTATATATGTTACTGTTACCCGCAGTACCAGGAATTAGCTATATGCTAATGTTTAAAATATAATATATTTTAATAATGAAACTTAGTATTTCATGTGTTACTGCACTGTATAGTAGCAAAATATATTTTTGCTACGATTTGTTTCGTTGATGTTACGGTTTTTATTTGTATTTTGAATCGTTTCAGAACGGAAATAGTGAAGTAATTTGGTTAATGTTTTTATTAATTTGTTGTTTTGTAAGCTTATAGTTGTGAAATCGTTAATAGTTTTAATGTATGTTTATTTGTAATTTGGATCGTTTCGGGACGGAAATTGTGTCGTAGTTAGTGTAATGCTAAAGTTAATATGTTTTTAGTTAGCTAATAGTTGCAAAATAGGTAACTGTTTTAATGATTGTTAAAAAATATCCGATTTTATTAAAATGTGCATTAATTTTATTAGAAAAAAAAATCAATAAAATAAATAATAATAAAAAAAAATAATTAATATGATGTAATATATTACAGTAAATGTGTGTGTGTGTGTGTGTGTGTGTGTGTAAAATATTAGTTAGCATAAAGAAGCAAGGACGAAAATGGCAGACTTTACTCAACACTACACCAATTACCTACTGAAACAGTGGCCCTACTTAAATTTTTTTCTTACCATAGTATACAGCTAGGCCATTCGATACAATAAAGCAATTTCTGACACAAGGGACGGTGAGTATGAAATAAAAAAACCTGGTAAAAATTCTAATAACAAATGTGTACCCTTCAGCCATGATTAACTACGAATTCCGAAAAGCCCTTAACGAAACTCAAAATGATCTTCTCGGCAAACCAATGGAAGCCTCTTATAAAAATTGCGGCAATAACCGCAACAATAACCCACACATCTTATACATATGAGGGTTTATGCATCTATGCATAAACCCTCTTTTTTGATGCATACAGTAACGCAACGCATTTTTTAAAACAGTTCTTATATTTACGGTTTTTGCTCAAAAAAATTTTTCAAAAATTACATAGCTGAAAAAAATTAGATCTTTTTAATTGGTAAGGTAGAAAAAAAATTAAAAAGTACAAAGCGGCACGGCAATAATCTAAAATCCTAAAAGCGGATAACTCACAGTGTTATAAACCCGGCACCGTTTTTATTTAACCCGGCTAGGTTTTATTAAAATCCGGCCCCAGTCAAGTATTAACCCTGGCCACTTACTAATTATAACATTGTCAGTGCAATATGTTTAATATTTTTAAATTTTATAATAAAATTCATTATCATCATAATTTTTATTTATCAGGAAAAGAATTATTTTGTTTAGTATAAAGATGATATAACAGCAGGTACCTCAGGTTCTCTAAACTTTTCTTCGCGTAATGTAAATTCAAAGATTAGTTTACAATTTAACCTAATTTTTATAAAATAGTGTTTGAAATACGTTTGAGCTGTTGTCATATTTTACTTAAAACTTAACAAAAACTAGTTTTTATAAAATATCATTATTTTTTAATTTATTTAATTATCTATTTTTTTTTTTCTATTTTTATGATAATGATTTGAAATATGAAGTATTATTTTTTTTAATGTTCTTGACAAAAATAATAATAACAATAAAAACAAAAACCAACAATTTAAAAGTAAAACTCTTAAAACTAATATTTCAAAATAAAAATTTATGTAGAATCTTTTTAAAAAAAAAACTGGAGCAAGGCAAATTCGTTAACTATAAGATTTTGATAACTAACAAGCAACGTTAACTCCAGGTCTAAAAAAATTCGATTTTTCAGTCACAACTTTTCTGGCAACTTTCGTTTTAAAATTGCATTCAATTTTTAGTAACTGCATAAAATTTTCTGTTCTAAACTGCATACACTTATATTTAAAGTATACTTTTTAAAAATTAATGAAGTGATAGAAAGGTGCGCTGAGTTTTTTATAGTTAAAGAGGTACTTAAAGGCGAGATACTTGTAGAATCCAAGCAAGGTTTGAGTACAAAAGGTCTTTATGCCTTTTACTTTAGTTTTTAAGCAAGGATAGGGTACTGTTTGTATTTATTTATTCTGATCCGTAACTTGTGTAAAGTGCATTTTGTAGATAAGCAATGGTCTGTTAATGATTTTTTACAATTATTTTTTATCTAAAAAAATATCCATTGTTTTTTATTATTTAAGAAGAATGGTAAAAACATTCTCGAAACAATTGAGATCGACATTGTTTTTGTTCATTTATCCCCTATAAAGATGGTTCCGAAATCTCAAAGTGTTAAATTTATATAATTTGATTAACGTTTTTCCGGCACTTACAACATTATCACAAAATGGCAAAAGAAAAAGCTAAAGAAGTAATTGGTATTTATAAATTGAGCAATTCATCTACTTAAACACAACGCCCCTTGCAATTCTTATCAGTTGTAAAAGGGATGGACGTCCATCTAATAAAATCTCATAATTTAAAACCAAATACTGAAACTTTCAGAAATTTATTAAAAGATGCAAAAGTACTAGCTAATTATAGAGCAAAAACCGATAAGACGGGGGATCTGACTATGTCAACATCAATGTTTACAAAAAAACTAGACAATATCAAGGAGTATACTAACGAGTACAATGATGAATTGAATATCGACAAAACAAGCAGTGAGTTTTCTTATTCAGAAAATGAATCTAAACCTCCAGTTGTTTAACAGAAAAAAACCCACCATATTTTAACGGAAAAAATCCGTTTGTTGACGGAAGCTATCAATTTAATTTAGCATTAATTTAAATTCACTAAATAAAATGTAAAAGTTTTTACCAAATATTAGGCCATTTTTTAAATCAATAATTTCCGAAAGATGAGCAAAATCTTGAAAGTAAAGTTAAAAAAGATCATTCACAGTTTTATTCTAGTTTATAAAGTTTTAAAGTTTACAAGCAGCCCTTTTCTAATCCAAACTTGGCGCATGCGCATTAGCTTTAACTTTTATATTTTAAAAGTGCAATACAATCCTTATGTCCCGGAAAAAAGGCGACTAACAGTCCCGATCGCAATAAAGTCCCCATTTCATATCTTAAAAAATGTCCTGGTCGCATTTTAGTCCTTATTTATCGCAAATTAATCCTTAAACTTAGCGCATAACAATCCTGAAAATATTTACGCTCATTCTTATTGCTATTATTATTGCTATTATTTTTACTATTATTATTATTATTATTGTTATTATTGCTAATAATACAATTAAGTTACTATTACCTTGTTTTATTAAAGCTTCTTGATTTCTATAAGTTAATAATATATATAGACTATATTTTATTTAATTTTTTACCTTGTTTAAAATACATGAACCATGAGTTTATAGTAATATATTTCATGTTTTAAATTTTTTTTTTCAGGTGGTGAACCAGCAAGGCTTCAACTGTTTCAGTATTATGAAGCAGTTAATGATAAAACCATTGATAAACAACAACTTATAGAACTAAATGATTATCAAAAGTTTTTGATAAAGTCTGCTAAAAATGCTTTTATGGCTGGGAAGGGCTTTAAAGATGTCATCATTTTTTTCCACCCAACACGCTTCCTGCCTTAAATATAATTTCTAATTCAATTGTAAGAGAGCGTGTAGGCATTCCAAAATATAATATATTTTTATTTGCAATAAAAGAAGTTCTGATGGGCACACTTCTGGTTGGAAGGCAATTCATGACGTTGCTTCTAAACTACCCTTGATAAAACCATTTTAAGGCAACAAATAATAGGCATTTGGTGAGTACATATTTTTTTGAATTAGAAAACTCAAGTGAACGGGATAGAGAACTATTTTACAAACACATGGGTCACTCTAAAGAAACAAACGAAAATACGTACCAATGTCAATCTGGTATTTCAGCAGTTTTAAATGTTAGTGTAAAACTTCTCAAAATGGATTTAGGTAAGTTTATTTTACATTTGTTTGGGTTACCGTAGTTCAGTAATACCCAATTTAAACGTTAAACTTTTAATAATAGTTTGCATAATGATAAAATGTTTTTATATTATGTCTAAAGGTGTGTCGCAAAACAATGAACTAAGTGCATTTTCTACAAATAACCGTGTCACATAGTTGAACCTACGAAATTCTGCACCTACAAACTTGATCTACAATATAAAACATCTACTAAAAAGTGGAAATAATTTTTAAGTGTTCTACTGAGGCCTAAAATGTTTTTAACTGATTATAGGCCTTTTTTAATTCGACCGATTTATGACGTTTTTTATTTCGACCGATTTTTTTCTCAACCTATTTGACAGAATTTTAATTTCAACCAATTTGCCATTATTTTATTTTCGGGGAAATTCATTTCAACCTTCTAGTCTGTGTTTTTACCATTTTTCTCCTGCGCTTTTAAAGATTTTTCTTCAAAAATCATTGACAATAAATCTAAAATAGGCAAGTTTTTGTTTCAAGAATTTAATCAACAAGAAGCCTGTGTTATATCAGCCTATGAAAGCTACTGACATTTTATTTTATTATTTTTATGTATTATTTCTACTATTAACTGCCATTTTTATTTAACCTAAACTATATAACATATTACAAAAAACAATATGATCAAAATTAATTTCTAAAATATGCAAGCATTTTTTTGAATGTATACAAAAACAACTTTATATATATCAGCTCAAGTATAATTTTTAAAATATTGAATTTTTATGTGCCTCAAGGTGAGCAATCAAACAATCTAAACCTATAATATCAATATCAAAACGTAAAATCCTTTTTTTTAAAAATACGTAAAATGCTTTTTTATAAATTTTTCATATAAAAAATAACTTTAGATTATTTAGGAATCCCTAACAAAAAATGCTCAAACTTTGATCTTCCAAATTATCAAAAAGAGGAGCTTGGAGAAAGTTAGCTTAGAGCCTGCTCTGGAATCAGCTCCACCTATAAATGTTTTAGCTTCAGCTTCTTCAGAACAATTTAGTGTAGAACAATTTAGTGGGTTGAAATTTTTGTAGTTCTAACTATATGATATTGTTTATTTGTGTTTACATGTTTTAACTCGTGTTTCTAGAACACATTTAGTATAAGTGTGTTATTTTGTGTAAGTGTGCCGTTAATCAAAACATAAAGCTGCTTTTACTTCTTTTTGTCAATACAAATGATACAAAGAACTGTTTTCTTACATTGTTTGTGAATTTAATAAGAAAGATTGTATTATACAGAAATGAACAAATATTTTTTGTAATAACTCTTTTTTTTATTAGTCATTGTACCACAATGTGAAACCAAGAAGCCCGTTCAACTTGTCAAGCGCATATGTGTTAATCATACTTTATTGCCACAAAAACTGTGTTATCTACTTACCTACTTACCATACCTTTTTTTAAAGAGCATTCATAATAAATTATCAGTTAGAAACAATTGGCCACAGAATGTAACAACACATTGTTTTGTTTTGCCATTTTACATGCATAGTTTTTTACTGATTTTTATAATTAAAGTTTATTTTACTTTTTTATGTCTAAAAATTGTTAAGAATATTTGCTTTGAAAAATAGAATTGTTTGTTTTATATATTTTAATTTTTTTTCTTTATAATTACTTGAATTAACGCATTGTATTTTATAAAATGATAGTTTATTTAAATAAGTAAACACAAGTGATGGTATTTTATTTAGGTACAAAGCAATGCCTTGTTAATAAACTATTTGCTGTGATTCACAATTTTAGGAAGAAATTTTCAGAAAATGAAAAAGAGGATGGAAAAATTAAAAGATGTATAGAATGTAAAGAAAAGAAAAATGAATAATAAGAAAATAAATAAGCAAAAATATTTTGAAACATTTGAAAATCAAAAAAAAAAGACAACAACGACATCAAAGAAGGAAGAGAAGTAAGGAACATTATTAGAACCAATTTAAAAAGAAAAAGAATGCATTTGAAGAAAAAACTATTTCTTTATGTATTGTTGTATTTTTGTATACCATCTGGCTTATCACTTATTTTTATTTTATTTATAAGTTTGTTTAATAAAAGTGTTTTTGTTTGTTTTTTGTTGTAAGTGGGGCATTAATTTTTTTTTGTACATATAAATATGTGTGTATGTATGTGTGTGTCTATATACATTTGTGTAAATATTTCTGTGTATATATTAAAGTATACTAAATTTTGTCCTTATTTTTACTTGTTATTTTTAATGCTACAATTTTTAAAGAATTTCTTATATATATATTTTATTTACTTATGTATTTATTGTTATTACATAACTATTTTAATTAATAAATTTTTAATTAAATTTTTATATATTATTAAAAAATTGTTTTATATTATTTTAATTACTGTTGTTAATAATATTATTTTTTTTATCTCACGTTTTTATTCAATATAATTTGTATTTATAATTATATAAATATATAATATAATTGTTCATCAGGCTTTTACTGTTTGTAACTCTAACTTTGTATATCTAACTATTGTATTTATAAAAGCAAATAATTTATTCAGGGTGGCCACTCCACCTAAAAAATCCTAAAATATCTTAGTATTGGAAAAACATCCTAAAAGATGATTTTCTCAAATACTTCTAAATTCTCCTAATTTATTTGTCTTGAGTATAATACATAAACTATTATAAGCCAAACAACAATAAAATTAATGAAATGATTCAGACTTGGAGTTAGTACTGTTGTATACTGAGAAAAAATAGGTTACTCGAATGTTTTTCAATATTTTTGTATTATTTTAATAACTTTAAAAATTTATTTTGATAAAATTTAAGCTTTTTTTTCTTATTTCTGTCTAAGTTTTGAGCATAAAAATTATTTTTATTAAAATTTTATTTTGATTAAGTTGACTTAAAATAATTTTGTATTTTCAGAATAAAAAATTTCAGTTAAATATACTTCTAAATTTTAAAAGTTTAAATCGACTAAAAATTTTGAACTTTTTTTTTCATATTTCCCGGCAAATCTCCTTAAAACCTTGAAAATCTCCTAAATTATCCTCATTTTTTCAGACAAAAAAAGTGTGGCCACCCTGTTATTGTCATTATTATCTTATTGTTTTAAAATGTTTTTCGAAAATTTAAAATTGTTAAAACTAGAAAATTACTGGATAAGAAAATCTGACAATATATATATGAAAAAAAATATATATCTAAAAGCAATGAAAGAAGGGAGGTGGCGTAGCGTTATATATATTTAACGCTCCCTTCTTTTATTGCTTCTATCTTTTTAGTAAAAATTATAATCAGTTGCGTTGGTATTTGAAAAATCATTAAACGACGTCTCTGTAACCCGAAGTATGTTGGTTTTATTTAAAGACCTTTATTGTTTAAGAATCTTAAAAAATCATAAAAAAATGAAAAAAATATTTTGTGTATTTATGAAACAAAATTTATCGCTGAACTCAAGTTTGAAAAAAACAGTAAGATTTAGTTCTTGAGAATAAATCAATTCTTTTGACTGGGTTAATTTAATCTGCCTAACATCATGCATAGTAACAGGTTTTTAATCAGAATTGCAAGCTGTTTTGTTATTATTTTGTTGTTTCATAAACTTTTTTAACAATAGGTAAATCATATAGAGTCAAACTAGGTACTCAAAGTAAAAAATCCAAAAAATTAGTTATGAAAATGACCATATTTATTGTAACAGTTCTTGAAACTTATCTTCAAAAAAAATTGAGATAATTGAGACAACTCAGCATAATAAAAACAAAACTGTTGGTTATCGAATTGTTGATACTGAAATTTTGTCTAATGTAATTATACAACTATGTTAAAAAAAATGTTTACAATCAAAATTAAATTTCAGAATGTTTTTCCAAAAAAAAAAAAGAATTCAGCTCAATGTGCTCTAACTGTAATGAAAAAATTCAAGTTTATGCTTCATAGACATGTTCTGGGAAAAACACTTTTGATGTAAATAATAGAATAGCTTATTCAATGCGTGCATGTGGTCAAGGTTTTTCAGGATTAGAAAAATGCATACTTTTAATGTACCCTACGGCTAAAAATAACTGGAACAATATAAATAATTCTGTCTCTGACAGTTTGCATAAAATTTTCACCAAATGTTTATTGCATCTACTTGTACGATTGGAACTAAAAGTTTTACAATACTGTTAATTTATAAAAGATTTTGATCACAAAACTGCATTTTTTTTAAATACTCCATTTTTAAAAATTCTTTATAATATAATTGTAAACTCTTATAAATACTTTGTTTTTTAGAACAATTTTAGTATACTTTGTAGATTACTATTTTGTTAATCATATGCCCAAAAACCATATCTTATATGTTTTCGGTTATTGAGTTAGAATGGCCGGGCTGGCCTAAACATTTTTGGATATCTGCCATTTTACTCGGTAACCATGGCAACTAATAAATTTATTTTGCATTATTTAAAGTTCTGTTATATTATTATTATTTCATTTATTTAACACCCAATGTAATTTACAAAGTAAAAAAGAAAAATAAGAAAGTTATTTCTCATGATTTTCACTTAAGAATTTTTTCCTCCAGAATTTGTTTAAAAATTCCTCTTTGCTCTTTCGCATTCTAGCACTCTATTGCATGTTTCAAAGTTTGTTCAACTTCGGAGGGAATTTCACTTTTAGAAAGTGCTATTTTTATCTTCTTTTTATTTTGAATTAAGTTTTGAAAATTTAGCATCCGAAAACGGCATAGGTCCTGGATATCGCCAACAGACGAATGTTTTAATAAGGGGTGTCAGTTGTGAAAAGATAATGCCTGAAGTTGTTTTATTATTAAGAAGACGAAGAAACAAGTTTAGTTTATTTTGTTGAATACTTTTTGAAATTTCCTGGATTTTAAATAGCGAATTTGTATAGTTCTTAATGTGTTTTGAAACATTTAAAATAGTTATTTAATATAGTTTAATATAGTTATTTCTCAAGATATACTTGGTTTTCTGTTGAAATAATTTTTTTGATAAAAAAAAAAAAAATGAGTAAATCGAGTATAGTATCGGTTTAACGTTTTAGAGAAAATATTTTTGAAAACCTTCGGCGTTTTTTTTGACTGTGTTGAAACATAAGTTGTGTAATTTAAAAAAATATTTAGTTCATAAATATCAAGTACCCTCATGCTTTTTAGAAAAGGTTTAGTATTTTTGAAGCGATTTTGAAAATGAATAATGCGTGCTGCATGATTTTGTTGTTTAAGGAGACAGTCGAGTTTAGATTTATTTGTACTACCCCAAACATAAGATAAATAACTTTTTATGAATGCAAAATAGAATTAGCGTAGATTTGTCTAAGATTTTTCTGGTTTTATATAAAATGCCAATACTTCTTGAGATTTTATAGCTAATGTGTTTAAAATGATGTCTCCAAGATAAGTTTTCGTCTATTAAAATACCAAGTAATTTATTTGTGAATGAGCGCAAAATTTTGGTGTTATTTATATATAGCATTGGTAAGGATTTTGGAATTTATTGAAACTTTCGTTTAGAATGGAATAAGGAAAACTAAGTTTTACCAATGTTTAAAGATAGGCTGTTAGCAATAAGCCAGTTTGATACTTGTTCTAGTTCATTATTTGCTACTTGAAATAGAGAGATAATATAAAATAGTAAGCTATACTATTCTTTTTTCAACACAATCAAATATGGTAAGTTTTCCATAAAACAGCAATGTATTTCTCAATGGAACCAGTGTATTCCTGCATTAATAAAAAAGTCTAAGAAAAAATATCCACTTGTTACGAATTTTTTACTGCTCAACATAATTCAATTTAAAAATATATTGTTGAAGTGTATTTCTTTATAATTTCTCTCTGTACTGTAGTTGTCTTCAATATATAATCTCTTTAACGAACAAGTGGTTTGATTTTTACTTTATTTATTATTTACCTATCTTATATTTATTATGTTATTAATGTTACATTTTTATGTTATTATTATATCTAATTATCATCTATGATTTGTACATACAATTTATATTGTATTATAATATTCTTAATAATATTGGTACTTTATTATTATTGTTATTATTTTGTATTAGTACTATTATTATTACATATAGCATTATTATTTGTTTAACAATCTTTTCTCCTTTTTTCTCTTATTTATATATACAGATGTTGAGTTTTTCCTTTTGTTTTTTTTTTTTTTTTTTGTTATTTTTTGTTTTTTTCTATTTATTTATTTTTTTTTTTGTGAAATTTTTATGTTTTTTAGGTGTCACTCCATTGACTAGTTTGTAACTATATGAGTGACACCTAACCAATTTATATTAATTTACGATGAAATATGTAAATTTTCTTGATATGGTTGAATAATAATAATAATAATAATAAAAATATATTACTGCGAGAATAGAATAAAGTGGTGTCGTCTGCAAACATAATAGTAGACATTTTATTTGATGCTTTATATAGATCGTTGCCATAGATTAAGAACAGCAGCGGACCTAAGATGGAACCTTGTGGAACCCAACATGATATTTTAAGTTTGTTTGTCTGAAAGCCATCATTTAGAGAAAAAAACTGCTTTCGATCAGTTAAGTAATGGTAAACCGTTAATCGTTTTCGTGGCTTATTTCATAATATTTTAGTTTTTCTAATAAAATCTGATGGTTAAAGGTATCAAATGCTTATGACAAGTTAAGAAAACCATATTGGTTATAATAAAATATTTAAAGCGACACAAGTTCAGGGCCGGCGCGAGTAGGTGTCACGTGGGGGGGTGCCATTACAACTTTTGCCGACTAAAAAAAAAAAAAAAAAAAAAAAA